GATATTATGAAAAAACAAAGTTAATAATGTAGAAAACTCGAAAAATAAGAAATTCTGTTTTCTACATTGAAACATTGTTTTCCACGAAAATTATTTATTTGGTAAGTGCCTTAAATAAATAATTTTCATATATTAAATTAAAATGAAAGCAATTGCAAATATTGTATAGAAATGTAAGACTTTTATTGCACCTTAATTTCATTATAACTATTCTAGAAAAAGTTCATTTAAGTATTAAAAATTCTTCTACTAAAACTTTGCTATCTTGAGCTCAGTGCTTTTCTTTAAATTTAATTTATTCGTGAATTAGTACTTAATTTTAATTAAGCTTATTTATTTTCTTCCCGTTTACGATGTTGAATAATGCGAATTAAGTTCATTAAAAAATATATGTGACAATGTTATTTAGTTAACTTTATTTTGGGAGTTTTCCTAAAAAAATGCTGCTAACTGAAAGAAATTGTAGGATTTATTTTTCTGATATGCAAAGTTTTTTTTTTCTTCTCAACATTATGTTTGGAGGCTCTAAGGGATCCCTCCCTAAGGGAAAAAACCCAGGGATTTTAAATGAAAAAAAACCCTTTTCCAATTTCCGACAAAACATTTGGATTTTTACAAAAAAAGAAAAGGTGCGCTGAAATTGTTATAACATAAAGTTATAACATAATATTTTAAAAAACGAAGTCTCGAATTTGGAAATATTTTTTAAAAATTAATACAGTGAACTTTCGTTATAACATACTCTCGTTACAACATTTCTCTCGTTATAACATCTAATGCTGTCAGTCCCTTCGAAAATGTTATAACGAGAGTTCACTGTATTATTATTAAAAACTTTTTCTCAACAAACAAATGAAATAAAATTTTTATTTTTACACAATAAAAAGTCCCTTTTTTTCCTGATCCCTTTCCCTAGGATTTACTCTTTCCCTTTTCCCTGATCTCTGCTTTTTCAAAAACCAGGAATTTTCATAAAGCATGAAACATAATTTATGTTTCATGCTTTATGAAAATTAGGACTTAATATATCATAAATATTGCTTTAAAAAAGTTTTCTAATTTATTTCTTTTATTGTTCCAGTGCTTGAACTCCCAGAAGAAGAAGATGAGTTGCTTTCCTGTGAGTTCATTGTTTGAAGCTTTTTCTCACCTTTTCCAGTTGAAATTGAATAAATTCCGTCTTGCGGTGATTGCACTAGTGAATTTTTAATTATTTCAGCATATAAGTGTTCATCATTGTGAATTTTCTCATTTGACGATTTCTCCGGTAAAGGATTTTTTTCATTTTCCCCATGAGATGAAGCGGAATTTTCCCGACTCAAAGACTTTTTTCTTTGCATTGACATGTAAATATTCTCGGACTTTGGCACCAGGGGACCGACTGTTAAAGACGATGATGTGATTTCAGGCACAGGAACTGTTGGTGGTTCAACAGCTTGTTGTGGTTGTGTCATAAAGGATCTTGAAGGGTTTTCTTTAGAATTGTTACGTCCGAGTGTTGATGACATTCTCGGAGGTGGACTTGGACGTGACTTGTTGTCATCATTCGGTAACGTGTTGGTGTTGTGAATCTGATAAAATTGAGGTGGAATTTGAAGTGATCGTCTTTTTGTAGAATCATTAAAATGAAGATTTTCAGGATAATTTGGAAGAACTTTCGGATAATTCATCCGTCGAATTGCGTTGAGTGATTCTTCAGGCGATAATGGAATTTTTTCTGGATCATCTCGTGATGTCACATTAACATCCCTCGGCTCAATAAAACTTGTCACTTCTTCTTGTTGATAAAACGGTGACCTTGAAGGATCAGAAAATGATGAATTTTGATGATTTATCTCACATTCTTCACAATGTGAAAATGAAGAACATTCACTTGAATCACTTTCTGTTGTTCGCTCGCGAAATTCACGAAATGGAATTTCATCAATCATCGACATATCCATGTCAACATCTTGACAAATTATTCGACCACATTGCCCGAAATCCATAGATTTAGCTTTCGTCACTTCGATGGGCTCTTGACGAAGAATACTGTTGCTTCTTGCGTTTGGTGTTGCATCGATAGCGACACTGACTTTTTCTCTTATAGCGAATGTATTCTGATGTGGATAAGATCGAATTGCTACGTCATTTACCATCCATCCAAATGTCATGTCATCATTCACTCGCATATGAGTATCTACTGTACTTGTACTTGTTTGCCGACCAACTCCATAACCATTGATAGGCGAATGTCGCTTCATTGACTCGTATGTGTTGTTTGACTTCCTCAAAATAAAACTTTCATCAGTGTCATTGAACTTTGAACGTTTATCATCGTCAAAAATATTTGAATTGTCATATTTTCGATCCAAATTCTTCTTACGGCGATACAAATAAATTAAAAGTCCAACAAGATTGACAAATAAGAATGCAACAATTACAGCAATCAAGAGAATTGTTGTAGTCTCTGATTTCAACATAACTTGGTCGTCTGATGAGATTTGCTCATAATTAATTGACTCAGTTGATGCTTTGAGACTTGTCGACTGGAATGAATTACGTGATTGCTGCAGACGATGCCGAAGTTCTCTCACTGGATCATCAGTAGCGCCTTCAATCTCAACTTTAATTGGATACATGCTGATCTGTCCGGTTGGCATTGGTAGAATTGTTTTTCTCGGTTCTGGTACCGTATTCCAAAGCTTTCCGTAAATATTAAACTGCGTCAGACTGTTTGCATTCTTCATTGTTTCAGGTAATCCTTCATTCCAAAATTTTGTGTATTTATGACGGTAACGTTGACTGATAATCGGTGGAATTCCGAGATGCAAATAATTTTGATTTAGTTCGCTGAATTCTTGCCAATCAACGTCATATTTTTCCCAATCAATTGGATTCATGTTAGTGAAGCGACACAATCCACAGGTCGGCTTTCCAAGTTTTGCAAAATACGAGAAATATCGCATGACAGCTTCCGACAAAAGTCGCTCTTGTGCATTGTAAAATGTTTGAAAAGGACCGGAAGCACCAAGAGGTGCACCAAACAAATAAGGTAACTCTTCACCATGAATCGATTGGGAAATTGTCGCATAGTCTCCAGATTCGGAATTATGTGCAAACACGTACATGTAACATTTTGGATTTGTTCTCGAATGATAAATTCCGGTTTGAACTGAAAACAATATAAACGAATAAATTTAAAAAAGCTTAACTGAACTGAGTTGAATTTAATTACCTAGAGGCGCAGTAAGTCTGGCATCAGAAAGAATTTCTAATAACATATCACGATGATCCAACGGGGTTAATGGTTTTGGCTTTAAAAATGTGTTCGTGTATTCTTTCAAGGTTGTAAGAATCGCAATTTCCGGTCGCTTATCAAAACGATTCACAAGATATCGTCGAATGTTATGATCTCTATCGATTTGTGGAATTCCATTTTGAATTGCTTCACGACCGAGAATATTGAATGATTCAATTTCCGTCATGCCGAAAAGCAAATCAAAGCGTCCAAAAGCATCACTGTCAGCCATAAATTGATGTGGATCACTAGGTATAACTAAACCATCAACAATTGGGCCAAAAATTGTAAGAAATTCCGGTGCCATGACAGTTACGTTTAAGATCTCTTGATAAGATTTTTTTCTTAAACATTCACCAAGCATTGGATCTTCAATTGGACAATTTAACTGTTTCGCTACTTGCATTGTTATTTGTTGTGGATTGTAATTTAATGCCCAATCAGAAAGTGCCGATCCTGACATTAAAATCGCTCTATGAAATAAACCACGAGCAACTGGTGAAATCATCAAAAAATTCACACAAATAGCTCCAGTGTCGTATCCTAACAAAGTTACTGAATTACGGTCACCACCAAACTGTTCAACATTCTCTTTGATCCATTGAAGTGCGGCGATGATATCAAGAAGACCAAAATTGGCTACCGTTTGATCATTTAATCCCGGCTTCAGGAAGCCTTTTGATGACACACAAAAGGAGACAAATGAAAAGAAATCGAAAAGGTCAAATGAAATATTGAAAATATAACATATCTGATGTCATAGACTAAATAAGTTTAGATTGCTTATATTTGTAAGTATCCATGAAAAAATAATAAATTTCTCACAAAGCATTCTAAATTTATTTCATCTATGAAAATAAGCCTTTTAAAAGCAGTTCAGAATGTTACTTACCTAATGCACCCAATCGATAATTCAACGTTATCACAATAACCTGACCGTAGCTTGCGAGAATAGATCCATCGTAAGGATTTCCACTATTCCATTCAAACGACTCACCATGAACGAAAACAATGACCGGAAGGTTTTTTGTGGGACCTTTGTCATCTGGAAATATAATCGAAATGAAAAGAAACGAAGAAAAGTTGATTAGATTAAATGTGCTGACAGATTTTTAACAAAATGCTTTTATTATTTGTTCATAATCATCATTATTCGATTTTTTTCTTTTTCATCTTATGTGAATGTAAACACTGAGAGAATTGAAAGCGTGTGCGGAAACTTGTGAGTGTTTATTGTAAACATGGTGATACATTCACTCATGCAAAATGATTGGGATCGTGACCCAAAAGACAAATGATTAACATGATAGAAATTCCTTCAGTTCCATTCATAGTTCTCGATTGAATAATTAATTTAATATTATAATAAGAATCACTAGAATGATTAATTACTTAAGAAATAGAAGAACGTTAATGGTTTGTGTAATCGAATTCATGTGTTGAACTAAAATTAAACTTTAAATAATGTCGAATCATTATAAATATTTACATGCGATGACAAGACATCGTTTGTAAACTTTCCCTCGACCAACTAATGAGAAATTCCTGATGAAAACGATTATTTGTTATGTGATTATTCAAAATCCGTAAATAAAAATTGATTGTTTACACGAGCATTTATTATATCCATTAATGATGAACCGAAGCTTTCAAGGACGAAAGAGAAAAAAATATAATAATAAAAGTTTTCATCATAATTAGATATTATTGTTGTATGTTGAATGATACAGACAAGGGACTTTTATGTATCGTCAAGGCTGTTCATTTGTCTCTCTCATCGTGTTTCTACCTTTATATCGTTAACTTTTTTTCTTGTTAGGAGATCCGCTCGAGTAGAATGTGAATGATAAGAGGAAATTGCAAAAAAAAACATCCGCGACGTGTACGAAGGAAGATCTGGATGAAAACTTGCTTTATAGTTTAAAATTTGTGAGCAAATCATATGGCTTTGTTATCTAATTATTTTCATCGTTTCATCATCATAATTGTTGTAAAAGAAATATTTCCTTTATTTCATGCATTTGCAAAATGTTGTGAGTGGAAAACGGCTTGAGGTGAGAATTAAGGATGTAATTTACCCAAAAAATCGTAAAACTTTTAATTGTAATTAATAGAAATATGTATTTTTATTTGCCGTGAAATTTCCTAGATTAAATATTGAATTTAAATATCTTCCACTATATATGTACATAATCAGTAATAAAAGTAACAAATTTCGGCTTTAGGGGTACTTTCTTCAACAATGTTTCTCAACCCAAAAAATCTTACCACGCAAATAAAACTTACGACGAGATCCTTTCGCATAAGACAAAGTAATTAAATTGCCAACGATGAAAATTTATGCAAATTCTATTGACGTTAAAGCAAACCAAAAGAATAACGAAGAAAGCTGCATGAAAACACTGCTGACGAGTGATTTATTTCTCACACGAAACCAAATATATTCGAAAAGAAGAAGGAGAATGAAAAGAATAAAAACATTTATTCACTTTGGCCAACATTTGAATTGATTGTTGGCGCTCTTAAAAAAAGGACAAAACACTTGAATCAGCATAATAATGAGGTGAGTTCCATGTAATTTCCGTTGGTGGAAATGCTGTGGGCTCAGGATGAGAGGTAACGACAGATTGATTGAAAATTTATGTAAATACATTTGAACCATTGAGACGACAAACATTGCTATTATGGTAGTGATTAAATATGCAAAATTATAATGAAAGTGACATGAAATAATTTGAGAGAAAATTCAAATGCAAAACATCGAAAAAAGAAGAGAAAGAAATTCTTTCCTTAACTAACAAAAAATGTGACAATCGACGAAAACCACAAACGATTGTCGCGTCAAATGATGGATGTTCTATCAGCTGGTAATGTTTATACATCTTAAAAAAGATATTTTTGGATTCTCATTCTTACACATATGAATATATAGAAAATAACAACAGAGAAGCGACGACAAAAGTAGCAGCGCATGTTCAAAGATTTGCCAGTAGAAAAATGATGAAAATCATAAAAATTACGACAGTTTAAGAAATTGGTAAAAATTCGTGCGTGCCTTCGTCAAAACAATTCTTAAAATAGCGAATGCTTTAGGGTCGATTATGGAAAGGTTTTTCACGCTGCAAACGAATGAAAACTTACCCAAACTTCGTACGTAGAGGTTTAAATATAAACAGTCTTCACTTTCGCTTTTAAGATATGGCAACAGTCGCTTAATTTGATCGTATCTGCCATTGTTATATCCACTTGGATCGTTAAGGTTAGGAAGTTTCTGGGGACAAACAGATTCCATTTTATTCGCACGTTTAACGTCAGACCAAGGGAGTGGAGATGATGGTGGCATGAATCTTCTTGATCCAATAGGGGCTTCTGCGTATGGAATTCCTAGGAATTGATCAACATTTTCAAGTCGTGATTGTACATTCATTTCTCGTACAATTCCTGTGAGTCTTCCTTGTCGAACATGCACTTCACGAGTGATTCGCACATGTGATCCGCCATGAATTTCTGACTGTTGTTTGCGTTGCTTTTGTGTGTGATATCCTGAGAAAAATGGATCAATTGTGTACTCAACCGTTCCTTCATTTATGTCTTCATTTCGACTGATCAAGTCACGAAAATAATTTCGATTTGACGGGTTTTGTGGCGGCAGGAATGAATCTCGTTTTACTATTTTCTTAACATTTGTTGCATGTTCATCATGACTCGACACTGATGACTTGTGATAATTCAATGACTCAGCTTTCAACAATTTCGAGTGATTCCAGCGAAATTGTTTATCGTGACACTCACACAACATAAACAGATAAATGAACACAAAAAAAATCTCTTGTTCGAAGAATTTCATTTTTTCCTTTCTTTTTTAAATGAATTTTTTCGATAATTTGAATTTGAAGTTTGTTGGCATGATTTCTCAATGTTTGTTCGCGTGTTTTTAAACGTGGACGGTTGTTATGGCGTCGTAAATGTTTGAAAAGAATTCAAATGTGAAAAAGCTGTGCGAATGTGAAATGTGATGCGAGAGGTGTTGTAATGATGTTTATTTCATAGATTAACTTTTTCTAGAATGTTTTTATACTGTAATTGTCATTAAATTTCTTAAAAGATTTATCTACATTCATTTTATTGATGTTTTCGTTTTAATTTTTCTCTTCAACAAGCATATATTCAATTGTAAATGATTCTATAAAGCTCTTTTCAACCACTGTTTCAACTTAGCTTCCAGCATTATCTCTTAATTCATTTAATTACTCGTTGAAATTCACTTTTACACCTTAATGAATTATTCACGTCGTGATTATATTTATATTCTTCTAATGGTTCTTATGACTCAGCAGTTGACTTTAAAAATAAAGCAATATTATTTTGAATCTCCTAATAAATTTCTTTTCACTTTGATATCGGTTTGCGGAAAACTTTGAGTCAATGCTGAGAGGTTTTTTTTTATTTCCTTTTGATCTTTCTATTTTTTATTTTGTTCTTTTCCTTTTCGAAAGATTCTTTTACTCAATCAAGTCGGTAAATACCTAATATTATTACAACATCATAATGTTTTCGTCGGTTTTTGGCTTTGGGCCTATAACGAATCAGGTGACTGAACTGAGTTTTCCTCGATGAAAATTTCTTTTCTTTTTATTTTTGTAAAAAAAAGTTGTGTTCGTTCTCAAAAAGATTCATTTACTTTAAATTTTGTTTTAATTTTTTTTTTTGTTTCCACTTTGGAAAACTCTTTTATTTCTTCTTCTTTATACACTAAAAATTAAAACTTTTAACAAAAGTCAAGTTGGAAAATTTTATCCTTTCTTAACGCGATCTTCTCGTTTTGTTCGTTGTTCCTGCTTAACTGAAATAAAAAAAACTCAAGAAAATAGCTTCGTTCTCGCTGAAACATGTTTTAAAAATAAAAATATTTTTATATTTGTGTGTGTGGGTGAATGCCGGGCGGACTGAAATAAGACGCGGTAGTAGAAAAATGTTTAAAAGATGAGCAGATGTCGTCATTAGCTCTTATTTGAAAAGTTCAACTCTGACGATTTGAAAGATGTTGAACTTTGTTGAGATGAGAGAAAAGTGAATTTTCAAGCATAATGTAAGGTTTTCTCCCGAATGAAACCGAATAAATAATTTTTTTTCAAATCCAACAAACGGCCAACTGTTTCGGTCCGAAGCGAGTGTTTCATCTAAGCAGTCGGCTGGTCTTGAAATTCTTTTGCATCAAATTGATATTCGTATCAAGGCGAGCAATGAGAATGCAAAGACTAAGAACGCTGCTGAAAATGGAACACTTGCAATGCGGCCGTTTCTATGGGTTTACCGCATTACAAATGAAACTCTGGGAGACGGTTGTCTTTGTCATTGAAAATTCAATCATCTCTCGCCTGAGGAAGAAATGCTTAAGGTACAAACAAAGGACAAAAGGCTATCAGATAAATGAAAAAATGTTAACTGAAAAGAGAGGCACAAAGGCTAATTCCTTCAGCCTAATGTCATCTTCTGTTAGACATTGGGTGGACGCATAACGGGCGGTTGTAGCAGTTTAACTGTTATCAGCTATAATGTCCAATGCAACATGTGTCTCATAGAGAGAAACTCGTCCGAGACTTGATGATGATGATGATGATCCAACAAACGGACAACCGTTCAATTGAAATCATTTCTCTCGCTTTTATGTCACGATCGTCACAACTCAAAATATTTTTTCTACCTCAATCACATTTCCCTTTTTCCTCATAAAGCAAGAAAGTTTACATCTCTTCTCGTCAATTTTTGACTTTTAAAAATAAATCTTAGCTATAAGCTTGATTTTTGATGTAAAATACGAAAAAGACAAGAAATTTTCTTTTTGGATTACATTTTATCGAATGTGAGAGTTAAGTGGGAATTTAAGAAACTAATAAAATTTCAAGAATTTCCACCATGAAAAAAGGAAACAAAAATTGGGAAATTTTTTAAATGCTAATGTTTTAATCAAACCTACATACATTTCCATAATAACGAATGAAATAAATAAAAAAGAAGCATTTAACATTTCAAATAATTTTTCAGTTCTTTGACTAATAAATTTATGAAAGCAATGTTTAAATTTTACATTTATTTTATTGTCATCTTGTCATTTATTTCATCGGCTAAGTATATTTTTTAATTAATATTCTTCAAACACCCACAATTAGTTTATTACCATAGTAATTCATTCATGTTGATTTTATGCAAATCTGTTCCAGAGTGAAAAGAAGTCAAGAGTATGAAGATGAAAGGCTAAGAAACCAAACAAAATTAACTTATCGGTCTCCTCTTGTTTCCCCATGACTTTGTCATGTGTGCCTTTCGACAGATTTCCATTTTCAGCTCACTTCATGGTTGCTTCATAAATCTTAAACCCCCAATTGACTGCTGTTTTAAGTTAGAATGCAGAAAAAACAAACTCGTGCGTACTTCTGTCATTAAATAAAGAAAAAAAAGAAAACCATTCGTGTGGCATCTGCTGCAATGAAATAAAATTAGAATCAAACAGACATTCTACATAAATTTCTCTTGAGATGAGACTACATCAAATTATAATTATGTAAGCATTGCAAATCTGTCGTGTGTCTCAATATCGTCTTGTTGGATCTACATTAATATGAATGAAAAAATCAAAGCATCACATTATGGCGACAAAATTTTCATTAGAACCACCGAATGTTTCATTGTTATCTAACTAAATATCTTCCTAATTAGTTTTGTTAATGAGTGACATTCATTAATAGAATGAAAATTAAATTTTATGTTTCTGGGAAAACCATTAAAATGCTGTTTTATGTAAACTGATAACAAACAAACTGTGAATAACAAAACACTAATTTTATATGTTCTTATTTACGTTCTTTCGACGAGTTCAATTTGAATTTTTCTTTTTCATTTCGAGTGAAACTTCATCCAAATTTAATTTTTGCATTCTAAATTGATTTTACTCGTCGCTATTTTTTGTATCTTTGAAAATTTATAGCGTCCAAGTGAAGCGTGTTGCTTTTCAAATATCCAACAAAAGTATTCTTACATATTTAACAATAAAAATAAAAGCATCAAGTGGGAATGCGAATATAAAAACGAAATAGTAAGGAACAAAGCACGACCATATGCATTACGAGTGCAGATGTTAAAAAATGTACGGCTGTAGCGTAATCGCTTCGCGTAAGCCATGTGCGATAATACTAAGAAAAAAAAATCTAAAAAAAGGAACATAAGTTGAACTGGGTATTGTGTTCAGGTTTCGTCAAGTGATATTTGAAGATGTAATTTTATGCAACAACATAATTCACAAGTATGCGCATTTTGCATGTGCACAAAAAAAAGCAATTTGATTTAATTACAAAACCTTTTATGCATTTTCTCTTCTTTTATTGTGATTTTTTTTTCAGCTCACTCGTGTTCATTTTCCGCCGCATTTTCCCAAATGAAAAATTTAAAATTCTATTTTCTCATCTCGCATGATTTTTACCATGTTGCTGCATCATTCTTATGTTGTTTTGTGTGTTGTTTATGCTTTGGCTTGCTCATGTTTACATTTATGCTTTGCGCTTGTAAATTGATAACGATCGCTACATAAACATTTGAATGTTTTTTCCGCTCCTTTGTTTTCAAACAATTTTTGAAGAGGAAAGATTTTTATTTCAGCTTTTCACTTATTTGTCGTGATTTTCTACCCTTTTTTCTTTTCTTCAAACAAATAAAAAACAATATACGTAAAAGCTTTGTAATTTTTACGTTAAATATCATGAGAGATAAAGAAAATGTTTGAATTTCATCGTGATCGTGAAAGAACGGCATTAACGAAAAAAATACCAAACCACATTTGTGACATATTTTCAACCATAATGTGTTTACTAGAGTTACTAAACCATTTTTAACCTGGAGTGACAAGTTCAAAATCTCTTTAGTTTATGCTTAAAGCTCACTCCATGTGTTCAACGAGAAAAAAACTTCAAAGATCCACTGTTAACTCTAAAAACCTTTTTTACTCACAGAAGTAAAAAATAAAAAAATGAAAATAAAAATCGCTTTTAGAACTTTCATATCTGTTATTAAGTAATTGTGGGTCAATTGCACTTCCATACCAACGAACACTTAAATATTGTTTGATATAAAGTTATTTTCGGAAGTTGCGTTATCGTTGACCTTTGATTATCAACGAGCAAGCATGAAATTATTTTTACGAGAACACATTTTAACCTTCATAACGATTATTTAAGTTAGTCGAGAAATATCATTTTCATTGCATTAGCTTTACAAAAGTCTTTTAGTACATAACATTCAACGATGAAAGTGATAAAATTAAAATTATTATGTTTTTTAATAGTTTTTATTATCTGTATTCAAGCAGCAAAACAAAAGATGACATCGCGTAAAAAGAGTTCCCAACTCGATTTGAAGTCAAGAATACCGAAAAATGTTCAAGTTCTAAAACGAAATGGAATCAAAAGAAAACCAATTACAAAAACGAGCATCAGTTATCAAGAGAATGAAAAGAGGGAAAACATTTTAATAAAAAGCGTGGAGGAAAGATATCAGGAGTTGTTAGCTTTGAGACAATCATCTTCAAACCCAATTTTGAAAACCAGAAACGGAAAGAAACCTTAAAAAATAATGAAGTTAATTAATGATACTATTTTTATATTTCATTTAAGTTTCAATTTAATCTTCAAGATCGAATGAATTTCTTTTCAACCTTTACGATTAACATAACTGAGAAAAAAATCAAATAAACTGCCAAGTGTTTGATGATTCAATTTTTATTTTAATACACTTTTCAGTTTTTGTCGCTTTTTTTCCAAAAACTAATAAAAATAAAGAAAGCAAGCTAATTATTTATCTCAACTCAAAAATGAAATTAATGTTTTAATTGACTAGTTTTACTCACTTTATGAAATGTCAAAGAAAAGAGAGNTCGTCTTTGTCATACAGGAGGAAAAGTTTTGATAAGACTCAAGTCCTTTCATACGCCAGTAATGTAAGACCATTGTCGTCGTGTAAAATTACCATGACAGTCAAATATTTGTCGGAACATGGTAAGATTTTTTGGAACAGTAGGATTTTAGGCTTGTGAAGTCACTACAATGGAGTTTTATTATTAGACACAGATTCTCTAGTCACCGTTTTCCAACACCAACCACATAGTCAAAATCGAATTACTGTCATGAGGAGCTGTCTTATTAAATCAAAGCCTCGTAGTATTGGAAAAACAAGATGTCGAGAACTCAGCCGATGCGATTAAGTCATTGAACTTGTCTTAAAAGTCACAGAAATGGGAAATAATTGGTTTTAAATTGTCACTTTCAAGTTTGAAAGTTGCTTCAAGTACAATGGTTATGAAATTGAAGCTCATTCGACAGCAAGATGAGAAGGTAGTTGTGTTACAAGACCATGGTCGTCGTTAAGTTGAACAGAACCGTTACGACAGTTCGAACATATTCAACATGGACAAAAGTTGTCGACAGAGACAACTGAAAAAGCTGATGACGTTGCACATGCGCAAAAGAAAACTGAAGAAGTTCATCAGAAAGTTCATATCGTGTGGAAGGTGTTCGTGTAATGTTTGTCGAGAAAACAAAAAAAAAAGAAAAGAAAGGAAGGAAATAGAAGGGAAGCCAACGTCTTAAGAGAAAAAAATAAATATTAAAAGGAGGGGTGATCCGGTTGGATCCGTTAGGATTAGTCCGATCGTCGAGCCGGCTCATTTGGGCGCGAGAGAGACGACGATATTAGTCGAGAGCGAGCCGTTGACGGATGCGGTCGCATCAATCATCATCAAACAAAACGGCAGAAGATTTAATGATTTCTTCCTTACCGAAGTTAAGTCGTCTATTGATCTTTTAAAGTAAAATTGATGATATTTTGAATTGGGTATGAAATTTTGTGCTACCCACGTGGACATTGCAGTTATGAAAATTATTTAAAATGAAATTATCTACTTTAATAAAATGAAGCAAAGCTCTGATGAAAGAATGTTTACCCAAGCAAATTTTGAAAGTCTGAAACACTTCACAGAATTGTAACTGAACGGGTAATGGAATAATCCTTCCTAGAAAAATGAAAATATTAAAAAAAAATCATTCGAATTTTTTTTAATTTTTGTTTCTACTTCTAATGTCCTTAAGTACATTATATATGTTTACTTTGAGCTTAACTAAACTTAAAAAAAGGAGTTTTTGATTATGTTAAATAACTGGAAGTCGAAATTAAGTTAATCTAATCTTAATATACGTCATATGGGCAAATAGTTTCTATTGGATGGACAATCAAGAACAAAAAGCTCCTATTCGCCATTTGAGGATTTATTATTATAAATCCTCNACGTCATATGGGCAAATCAGGGGTCGGAAGCCGAAGCGGTAGCGGAAGCTGGAAGCTTAAAGAAGCTCAACTTTTTGAGAAGCCGAAGCGGAAGCTTGGAAGCTTTTTCAGAATTTTGAGAAGCTGAAGCGGAAGCTTGGAAGCTTTTTCAAAATTTTGGGAAGCCGAAGCGGAAGCTTGGAAGCTTTTTCAGAATTTTGAGAAGCCGAAGCGGAAGCTTAGAAGCTTTTTGTGCAAAATCGTTAAGCTTCCGACCCCTGGGGCAAATAGTTTCTATTGGATGGACAATCAAGAACAAAAAGCTCCTATTCGCCATTTGAGGATTTATTATTATAAATCCTCCTTACTACTCCTTACTTATGAAATTATATTATTCTTTGTCAATTATGTCTAATTTTTAGATTCAAATCGTACTCACTCAATAATTTAAGTGTGCTTTTACGCTTTCATCGACGAATCCTTTATCCAAGACACAAATCTTTCCAAGGGATATTTTTATTTTCCATTTTCGAAAATAAACCTGCGCATTGTTCACTTCCAGTTTCCTACATTTCCAGACGATGGGAAGTTGTGCATGTGTCATCATCAAAAAACTACTATTCTGAAAATTTCTTCCCATCGAGGCATTCGGTTCAGAAAGTTTGCGTTTATTAGATCGTTAAAAATGTGCTGCCTCTTTGAAATAAATAGAACTGTAAGTTAAAGGAAGAATTTATCTATCCTTTCCACAAATCAAAGTAAATAGATTTAAAAGTAGGAAGAAACTTTGTGAAAAGTATTGTGAAAATTCTGAAATCATACATATTGTGTATATCCAATTATTAAAGCTACAGACAAAGAGAAAATAATGATTTAAAGCTCTCAATGTGGAATAATTTTTTTTTTGTGTAATCTTAGGACAAGAAAAAAAAGATCTTACTAGCAAAACTTTATCTCAAATGAGTTTCTACAATAATATGTCACAAAAACATAATAAAAACAATTAAAACATAATAAATTATCCAAAAACAAAATACAATGGATCCAGTTGATAGAAATTCTCTTAAATTTCATCGAAGAAAAATTAAATATGAAATCATCAATGCTGCTACTCGAATTTAATTACTACCTAGAGTAAAGACATTAAACCTTAATTTGTTTACATGAATGGAAAAATAAAATAAATCTTTATACCTGGATAAATAAACTGTTCAAAAAGCCCTTGAAGCTTCTACTTGGATTAAAAAAGTGATTTGCTCAACAAGACGTAAAGTAGTGAAAGAAAAAGAATGAAGAAAAAATGAAAATATGTTATTCAAGAGTCTTATCAATAATGTATGAGGTTGCTTAGTTTCATTCTCCCTGTTTTTATATTTGTTCGCATCTATTTTTATTTTCAATTCAAATAAAGTGGGTATGCGTATGTTTGTACATACTAAAACTAAGTCATTCATTATGCAAAGTAATGTAAAGACGAAATTATGTGATTTTCTATTTTAGTATTAAATAATTTCGAGCTTTAATAACAAATCAAAATAAAAGTAAAGAGGATAAAGAAAGCAAACTAAAGAAAAAGTATTAAGACCTACTGAAGAAACAGCGGAGATGAACAGCTAAGCTTTGATATTAATATTTAAGCTCAGCTAAGCGTTTCTTTGATGTCAAGTGAATAAATATGGAAAAGAAGGGAAGATGGTGATTTAAATCCCAAACGATATTTCAAACTTTTGTAACACAAAATATTGTGCTCAAAACGAAAGCATCTTAATGAAAGTATGAACAATAAATTAAAGAGGGAAAATATCGATAAATTAATCTCATTAAATAAGGAACTTTTAGGATAATTAAAATAAAATATTAGTGAATTGACAAAAGTGTTCTTCGTTTTAATATCGGTGATTAATGAAATGTTACGAGAAGAAGTGAAAAGAAAAGTGGGGAAAAGATTCAATAAATTTATCGATTAAAGAAAAGTTTAGTATAAGAAATTTCATACGATGATGTTATTGATAGTCTTGTTTTTATCGCTCTTAACACCATTTTCATCTGGTGGCGATGACAACGAGCCAGCAAGTGATCAAGCTCAAATGTCATCACGAATCGTGCACACAAAATATGGTGCTGTGTCGGGTATAATTGTGCATCTGGAAGGGCGAAATCTTGAGCCCGTTGAAGTGTTCAAAGGAATACCGTACGCTTCACCGCCTACAGGTTCTCTAAGATTTATGCCGCCAGTTACAGCCGCATTATGGCCTGGCGTTAAGAAAGCTGACAGGTAGAGTAATCTATTTATAATCAAAGCATTAGCATAAGCAGCTCTTTCAACATCAAAGATCCTACTTAATAAAAAAATCTCTTCTAATCCTTAATTAAATTCAGTTAAATAAAGTTAAAAATAGAAAGCAGAAGTTTGTTTACTGGATGATCTTCTAGCTTTGCTATCTACAATAAAAGTTATTTAACTCTTTGAGGCTTCACCTCAGCAAAATATATATATATATATATATAAAAAAAGTGTTCTCTAATTTCAATCCCAAAATAATCCCATTTTTAAACCTTTTCAACTCATCATATCTTCCATCTTTATTTTCTCTCTTTTATGTGGAGGTACGAGGTACACAGCTTATCTCACTTGCTTCACCTTTAAACAGAGTTTACCACATAAACCAGTATGAGATTCTTCTTTACCCGCACTATTTATTTCCACGGATAAAAAAAGAAGAAGGAAATGAAAAAATTAAAAGCATTGTTGAAAAATTAACTTTTTATTCTACGAATTTCCGCTTCACAATTTCACTCGCAAACTTCCCCTTCCGCATATATTTTTTATGGTGAGATCGACGAACCGTGGGATATTAATTACGCGATGCCTAGAAAGAAAACTTCACAAAAATATTTTCTATATATTTCTATATTTTTATATATTAAATTAAACGTGACAAGTCAGTGAAACTTCCACACGAAAGTAGGAACAATGTGAAATGAATTGTCGTTAATTTAGTTGCGGTAGGAACATGCAAGGAAAGAAAGATGAGAACTCCTAAAAAAAAGTCTTGTAATTTCGGAAAGAAAGAACCTTAGAAACCTTAGAAACATTTCCTGGCAATTTATTGAGTAAAATTTTCTTTGGGTTCGCTTGGAACAAAGCAGGCGGAGGTTGACACAGACAATAATTTTTCTTACTTTATTTTCGCTCTTAAAATATCATATTTATGGCTGTACCATTCTTGGCGGCTTTATATCGTCTCAATTTCACGAGCTCTAAATTATTATGTTGTTTTTCTTTTTTTTTTGTGTTCAAGTTGGGAATGGAAAGCTGTCTTAGAATTTCAATGGAGTAAATGAAACACAACAGACTTTCCTCCGATCTTATACTTCTTTTTTTTAGCCAATATTATAAGCAAGCTCAAGTTTTATTATTATTTATGAATGTTGCCACTAACATACAATGAATTATAATTACAAGAGAAAAAATGATGTTCCTCCAAAGATGATTTGAAATCGATTTTTTATTAGAAAATTCTCTGGTGAAGAAATATAAATAAATCCTGAAATATGAAAAATCTTTGGATAGAAATTCGACGACGTTCATTTCCTTTCTGAACATTATTATGGTGAAAGAAAAATAAATTTTGTATAGATGCTTATGGAGCTTTATTTTCTCATTCCATAAAATATTTTCCTCTCTATCATCAGTCACTCGATAACGGATTAAAAGAGAAAATGAGAAAAAGAAAATGAAGAAGTTCAGTCTTTTGTAAAGACTAAAATATGTATCGATTCACAACATGAATTGAGAAGGAATTTTTAATGGAAATCTAATATCATATTTCTTAAATCGTCTTCGCTAGTGGCTATCGCGTAAATGATGTCACGATTTTTCTTTCTTACTCGTAGCCATGACGGAATTGATCAAAAGTCATAAAAATTTCAAACACATTTTACGAATCGTAAAGAAATCGTTTTAAGGACGTGATTTTCAAACATCATTTCACCTTTCACTTGAAAATCTTTATGACTCAATTATGGATTGATTTTGACTGAGTCTTTCACATGTATACAGAATTTATGTTTTCCTTCGTTGATTCTTGCTGCTTTTGGCGTTCTTGCATTTTTATTTTATTTTTTATTATTGAATTTGTCGGGACTGGGACACAGAATGTGTTTGAAATATAAGGGAATTCTCAAGAGAAAAGAAATCGATAAGAATTGAGAGAGTTTAGATGAAAGAAAAACAAGTTTCAATGAGGGGGTGGATTTTCTTTCTTTGATAAAGCTTTTTAGTGCACTTAACAACGACTTTTTTTGACAACCCTTTTGTTTGACGCTATTAAAGGAAAGAACAGAGAAAACTTTTATTTCTGTTGTTACCCTCGAATAAAAACAAAAGGGGGACGAAACAATTTATTAATTAGATAACAAGATAAAAATGTGTTTTGTTCGTTTTATCGTCGTGCACCAGTTGAAAGTCACGGGAAGAATGAAATTGGGGTTGAAGAAACCATTAAGTTCAAAAGCATTAAACTGAGAAAACCCAAAGATTGAATGAGAAAACTTCAAATTGTGACTTTCAAGTGTATTCAACTCCCAATTTGAATATTTAACTTTCCACTTGTTTGTTATCATGTTCAAGGAGTCACGGAAATTCTCGACAAATCATACATTAAAAACTTAATTAAATGTATAGAAATTTTAATTTAGTTTTCTCTAAAAATTATGGGAAACTAATATTTCGTGCAACCGCAAAACGTTTTGAAGCTCAACAACACATTAATCACACAGCCACACTAACTAGTGGAGAGAAAATGATTTTAATTGATTTCCTATCATCTCTATGAATTGATGTATGTAACATTGAGTATCTTTCAAGTTTGTGTTTGCCATGAGAAATTGAAAAAAATAATGTGGAAAAAGTTTGTCTTTAGGCATACTCGGACGTCAGACAAAATCGAATTCTTAAATGTTTTAAAATTCTCTAATAAAGAATTTGTGGCTTTTCAAAAATGTTCGAGAGTTTTGTTGAAACTGTTGAAAAACTAACTGCAAAAATCTTTTCGTTTCTTGTTGAAAAGTCCTTCATTCTTTGTTTAATTAATGGTTCTTTGAATGTTTGGTAAAAAAGGAGAAAATATATTATAAAATTGTTGAAGAGCTCGTTTAAGAAATTATGAAAATCGGATCTTTGTGGCAGTTCAAGAGTGATTAGAAGTGGTCATAACTATCCACTTTGATTCTTGATTCTTGCTCAAGATTTTCAATTCATAGGTGCTGATAAAAGATCAAAACTTTAATCGATAAACATATTTCTATAACTTAGTATACACCTGAATAGAAGTTTTTTTTCCTAATAAAGTTCTAAAACCTAACAAAAATTTATTTGAAAAACTTTCTCAATGTTATTGACAAATGGGACTTTTTTTCATTCAATTTATGTAAAATATTTTATAAAAATATTGTCTCTTAATAATTCAAAGCTTTGGGGTTAGTAGAAAGTTAAAGAAAATAAATAAATCAAGAGAAGAAAAAAAATTGAAACTCAATTTCGAATTTGAAAAAAATTTCAAATTCTGATATTGACACATTTACCGAAGAACTCTTGTTCGAGGCTTTTAAAACCTCAAAGTAATTTTATCTTTTTTTGACTGAAACAGAAAGCGGCTTCTGTTGTTGTTGTTTAAGCCCTCATGACATATCCTGCTTACATATCTTCACAGTCATGAAACGTTTTTTTCTTTCAACTTTACGTTCACATTTTGTCATTAAGTGGCACAGTAGAATCATAATACATGTTAAATGATCGGAGAATACGACTGTTTCATCGTACGTTAGAATCTCAAAGGCAAATTCTGTTTACCAACAAAGCGGGGTCGTTCGAAACGCATCAGTTTTAATGGTTTTGCTTTAAGAATTCAACCCCATCTCCTTCTCATCATCTTCAAAGTACTTACAATAAAACTTAATGTGGAAAAAGAATTTTCGCAACCGCAATCGAATTTCCATAAAAAAAAGAATGTGTAGAAAATGGCTCGAAATTTGAGCAAATTTCATTCTACGGCCGCATTTTTCTTTCACATTTTTTCACAGCTAAATTGAGCAAAGAAATAATGTGAAATTTATGATTTTATTATTTATACTTTCTACCTTTTCTGCTCTCACATTTTCTACACTCAAGCTCACCTACTAATCCCCGGCATGCAAGGGACAAATAAAATTCTACTTCTTGTTATTTCAAATTTTGTTATTTTTATACAATTTCTTTCCGACGAATACGTAAAAGCGGACCGAAAATCGTAAAAGCTAATGTAGTGGTTAATTTGAAGAACAAGAAACATTGAAAAATAAGAGGAAAGCTTTCAATAAGCTTCGTGACGCGAGGCATAAGAGATTAAGTATCGTAGTAAAATTTAAGGAAGTTTTCTCAGGTTTGTGAACAAAAGCGACCTTGATATGTTGAAAAGCCAATTCAATGCTTCTCAGAGACAAAACGTTATGAGTTAAATTACATTTGTAAAGCAATAGCAAAATTATAAACAAAATCCTCTATTAAATCTTCTTGAATTATGTGCTTTTATTTTAAAATAGAATCGGGAAATCATGTGATGGGAAGCTTAATGGAATCCCTTTGAACATTACCATAATATGACAATATATTTAAATATTTTTTTATAAATACAAGAGAAACAAATAGACTAAGAACGTTATTATTATTATTCTTATTAGAAAGGAAGGAAACATCTTCGGTCTTTCTAATCTACCTGACAACAGCTCAACCTTGATAGGTTTAATGTTTATATGCTTTGTGTGTCATCTTAATCTCCGCCATCACTTTCAAATAAAATCTTCATCTTTAGGAGGAAAACTCCCTTAGATGGGAATTCAGTTTGCGCATGAAAGAACACGTTTTCCTTTTTTTAAGGGAAAAATTAATCTTCATCTCCCACGAGACGATGACGCCGCGAGGGTGTCAAGCGCTATAGTGAGAGATCAAAATAGGAAGAACACAAGAAATTAAAATTCATGAAATCTTCTCTCACGACAAAACGACTTTCTTATCTATTATTTTTTTCACCAGCATTTAATTAAAGCAAATTCATTCATTTCGTTGTCTCTTCATTCATTGCTGATTCTAATGAGAGAATCACGAAGTAAAGCGAGAAAAAGCTTTTCCCAGTAGGGAAATGGATGAGGTTTTCGTAACAAGTCTTGAATGTTCTTCAAAACTTATTTTTCTTCATCTTTTTTACTCGAATGTTTATTAAACCTTATTGCGTAGGCATACTCATGGAATCATTTCAGCGATTCTCAGTGGAACTGAAACTTGTAAGCTCTTTAATTCTCCTTCCTAGTTTTTTCTTCGCTTAATAAAACCAATTTTGAATGGAAATTAATGTCTCCACTTTTCTCAACCTGATTATTAATGAAGTGGAATATTTAAATAAGCTTGATTCCAATTTGTTTGCTTTGATTCCAATTTGTTTGCTGTTCACGTTCTCATTCATTCATTATTTTTTTTTCCTTATTGATGACGGATAAAAATCGGTATTTATCAATCAATTAAATTTAAATTGTTTCTCTTTTTTTTTTGAATTTTTCCTGAAGTAAAATTTTAGGTCAAGATTCTTTATCATTTTCTCTGAGATTCTTTTTCCATCTATCAAAGATAAGAAGCTGAAATTGAAATGACTGTTAAAAATAAATTCTATTCAAAAAGAAATCTTAATCTCAACCTCTACTTAAAGAAAATACTGACTTTACAACTTATTCTTTGTCCTAAAAGTGAACATAAGTGAACATTAGTGAACATTCAACGTCTTCAGCATGTTTCCATTTTTTAACTGGCTTGTTGATCTTTCTTCAAGAACTCTTTCAACTTATTCGAATAGCTTAAAAACATTTTAATGCCTTCAATTTTAATCAAAATATGAGATAATTCTTCGTATTTATGTTTTTATTACAAACATTAATTTTCACAAGAACATGAAGAAATTGTAAGATTAAAATTTCGAAAGAAGCGACGCAAGTCATTTTTGTAAATATTTCATTATTCTACGTTAAAGGAAATTTAAAAGAATAGCAGACAAGAATTTAGAGGAAAATAAAAGAAGAAAAGTTCAAGCAGATAAATATTGATTTTCTCAAGCGAGGAAACTTTGGTTCAGGAAGCAAAGCGAAGAAAATTGAAAACTTCGGGGTCCATGGAGATGTTTTGAATGAGTAAAAAAATCGCTAAAAAGCTTCTACATAAAACCAAAACATTCCCCTTTAGTCAAAATGTAACAGAAGAAAAAACAAATGAAAAGATTTTCCACAAACTTCTTGCTCAATAAACTAAATTTTGCCTCTCAAGAACAAATTGTACTTACTTAAAGCAGAGTATGGTATCTGAGGCAGTCTCGAAAATTCTCCCTAATGCGATTATTTTGAATTTCAAACCAAGCCCTGATTTAAAAGCTATCTTGAAATACATTTATTTGTTATCAACGTAGATATAAACACAAATTATTACGTATAACCACGAACAATGACTAGAGAAAAAACAGCTACACCAAAAAATATAAAAAAAACTCATTTCGGGAGAAGAAAAACTTTCGGAAAAATGTTAATAATCAGCCGATGCTTCATGGTCTAAAGGAAATAAGCCGCCTTTTCATAACAGGATTATTAAAAAACTTTTCTTCCGTTTGTGAAGACAATGGATTTTGATTTATCGAGCTTTATTATTTTTCCGGAAAATGAAGAAAGAAAGAGCTATGGTTTATTTGCCTTTTTGTTGTTCATAATTATGTTCCTAAGGAAATTATCATAATTTACTCTTAGAAAGCTTGAAAAACGAAGCTTGACGTGACGTTGGGGAATAAATAATAAACTATCATTCTAATTTATAAATCTTTATTTTTCATTAAAATCTTCAAACTTTTCATTTTATTACTCCTAAAAAAGAAATTTCCTTCAATAATTTCTCTAATCACAATGCTCGTGATGTTGTTAGATAAAGACTTGAAGCATCATCGTCAAAAGTTTTTCATTTTTGTGGTTGGGGAGGAGATGAAAAGGAAACAAGAAGACAAGAAAAGTTTCTTGTGTTTCATTAAAACTTCTATTGGCTGTGGCTGTTTTAAAGCTCGTAATTACCTTTTAATTGATACTGTTTATGTCTTTGATGGCCTTAAATCAAATGATAAAAAAAAATTTGTGTCATTATATTGAAATTTATATTCAAATGAAATCAAAAGATCTCTTCAAATGATTTAAATTTTCATGTTTTTCCTCTGCTTCGTTATTACAGATTCAGCGCTGTGTGTCCTCAACGTCTGCCAGACATATCAAATGAGACAGCCGCTCTCGAGCGAATGCCAAAAGGAAGACTTGAGTACCTTAAGCGACTATTACCGTACTTAAGAAATCAATCTGAGGACTGCCTTTATCTGAATATTTACGCGCCGATTCAAGGTAAAAAGAATGTTAATATCAAATGAAAGACTCCGAAATTTAAGCTGAGAATTTTTCTCGCAAATTGGTTTAAGTGATTTTTGGCCTTAAGCACTCTGAGAGTGCAATCATAACCGTTTTAAAAATAAGAAAGGAAATCACGGTAAGATTTCTGAGTTCAAGATTTTTTCTTGAGGAAATAAGATTAAGTAAATAATTGTTCAACATCGTGCATTTCATGCTTTATCCAAAGCACATCTCGTTTTCCTTATTTAAACGTAAAATGATTCTTTAGCAGGCAAGAAATTCAACTTCAACGTTTAGTTACATACCTCGATGCTTAGGTGCAAAAATTACCTTTGATTATTCGTTTAATGGAAATAATTATTTGTAGCACTTTCTGCACCATCTTCGTTTTTTTTTTATTTTCATTTCCTGAGACTTAATAGGTAAGGGGAAGCAGATCACTTAACAGCACGAAAATAAAACGAGTGAGTGGGAATGAGAATGAGGAGTCTCATTATGTTTTAATTATGATTCCTGTTTATGAAATAACTTTCACATTATCCACATCTTTTACTTGTGCCTCAAATGAGTTTGATTCAGGTTTCTGCACATGTAGATATTTAACATAAATTTGCATAAAATTTTATTTCACAGAACATTTTATTTAGCACGACGAGATTCAGTTTTTAATTAAATTTTCCTCTTTTTTCGTGCTACTCTCTCAACGATACAATATATTGTATTCACATAAATGTGCGAGAATGCAAATGAAGTGAAAGAAATAATAAATATAATGCGGTTGTTGCAAATTGTTATTAGAATTCATAGCTCAAATATTTCCTCTCAATATTCTTCAATTTATTACGAGATTTCGATTTGAAATAAATTTTTTTATCACAAATATTTTTCGCTTTTGTTCCTGTTGAACATAAATTCATAAATTCAAGAAGGGTAACAGCATTGTAGTGCAAAGTATTGAGAGTAGTTGGAGCTTAAAATTACTGAAACATACATTAAGTTTCATTGATTTTAAACTAACAAATTGATGTTGGAGAGATGAAAGTACGGAAGTTATTTTAGAAATCATGTACTCTGATACTGTAGTTTATGAGAATTAAGTATCATCAAAATGGTTTTTAAAGAAGGGAAAAAAGATTTCAAAACTTTCATGAACCATAAGTTTAAATTACCCGAAGTCAGGTTTTCGAACACGAATATTCATTTCATATATACATTAAAATCTGATGTTGACAATCAACTATTAAGCTAGAAAATTCATGGAATTTTCAGAACTTCACTAAAGCTTTAATCGATTTTTTCATGAGTTTTAGAAGTTGACGTAATTGAACAACTTCTGTTTATTAATTTATCGAGAAAACATAAAACTTGTGTTTCAATCTCAACGCTAATTATTTGTGAAGAGTGTCGAAATTTAATGAAATTTAAAGCACATTTATAGCGTAAGCAAATTTTTCGATAATCTTCTTTAATCTGTCACAAATATCTAAACAAAATTTCCGCTTGAAAGCAATTTTCCAAATAACTTTTCCATAAATAGCAGCCACATTTCCACAATCGACTTTTCTTTTAAGTAGTCTGAAAATTCGTGAAATAAGAAGAAAAAAATAAGGAATTCTTAGAATTCTCATTCAAATTGAATTTAAATTTATTTCACATCATTGAATGCTCGCTCAACTTATGTAATTTTCATTTATGGAAGGATAAAAACTGAGAAAGACGTTGAGACTGAAAAAGCTGCCAGCTATACAAATAAAATTAACTCATTATGTTGAGAACAATTTTTGGGGCGCAATTGAAGACAAGTTCGAGAGTCTCGAGGCATTCTATAAACGTTTTTATTAATAATGAATAGTTGACAACAACATTTGGTTTCAAGCTCCTTAAGGAAACGAATAGCTTTCGTAAAAGTTTTATTTTTGATTTCATTTTCCTTTTTCTCGCATCATTTCCAACTCCAATGTGCTCTTCATCATTTTCAACCATTTTATTTTCATGACGATAAACATCCTGCATGACACATAAAAAGAATAAATGCCAACTGATTTGAGTACTTGTAAGGAGAGCACGATTTTATTCGACAAAGATTCAATAATATGAATGAATGAAACCAGCAGATGACCGAGCAAAAAAAACAGATTTTTTTTTATCATTGTTAACATTTCTCATTTTGATGAAATGTTTCGATAAATATTTTGAAATGCTATTGACAATCGTGGGTGAATTGTTCAAGAGACGTTCTTCAGAAAATGTGAGAGCTTTTTTTTTACTATCGTATTCATGAATAAAATAATTTTTATGATTGTGACACTCAAAATATAAGGCGAGATTTCTACGAACATTTATGAGCTTTACAAAGTTCGTTACATCAACAAACTAGGAAATAATTTATAAAAGATAATTTGAAATTCCCCTCACAACACTTTTTGAATTTAATAACATTAAAATGAGTTTACATTTTGATCAAAACAACTCACACCCATGACAAAAACTTCTACGCAGGTGTTCAAGAAGAAAGTTTCGTTAAACCCTTAAAACTCAGTAAATGCCATTACGCAATCTTATTAGGGGAGAGAAGTGTTTAATTCAATTTTAATCTTTCTTTATCGAGATTTTTTTGAGAAAAATTGTGAAAATATAAAAAGCCTTCATTTGATTCATTCAAGTGGAAATTGTACAACTTAAACTCTGGCGACAATTCTTGTCTTAATTTTAATGAAAAGAAAAAGAGAAGAAGAAAAATACACAAAGGAATGATTTTCAAACCAAACCATTGCTGTTTTCAACATGATACCAAATGCTTATCTATCCACCTAATTAATTTCTTCAAAATCATTTTCACCTTCTCAATACTCGATAAAATTGTTGTGAGAATTTTAAAACATTCAAAGGTTTACATTTCCTTAATCACGGAGCGTTACGAAGCCATTTCAATGAGTTGAATAAAAAGCAATGTTTATGTCCCTATAGAGATAGAGAATCTTTCAAAAGGAAGGTGGGAAGACAAACCCACGGCACGTAATCTTAATCAAAGTCAATGCTGACTTTTAAGAGCCTCAGATTAATGTTATTCTGTAAAATCTAAAAAGAAATATAAATCAAATACTCTCCTAACATCTATTTGATTAAAATTAATTTCTCTATTGAAAGCCTAGAAGACTTTCGTTACATTCGATATGAAATTATTCCACCGAAAATACTAAATAAATGTTTTGAAATTGTATTCGAAATTATCAGCGAAGTTTCTTCTCCCCAATTTCTTATTTATTTCTTCGCCACTTTTATTATTAGAAAGAAAGCATTCAGATTAATTTTCGACACGTGATGGTATGCGGGTAATTCTATCTAATTAGTCTCACAATTACGTTTACAAAAAGGAAAAAGACGACGCCAAGGTGTCATCGAGTGCGAAACATAGCAAAGAAAACTGCTGAACGGCAAAGAATGTAACGTGAGAAGCAAGCAGCAAGACAAAACATTTTAATTAAACTTTATTCCTTTTGCAATCTAAAAAAACGAACAGACGTGGAAGAATGTGAAATGGCATTTTATTTGCTAAGAATTCAAAGACATTTCCATCGTGTTGAAAAAAAATCTAGGGTTTCGTTTAGAAAAAGTGGAAGAAAAATAAAAAAGAAAACTTTGGAGAGCGAAACGAAGAAACAGAAGACGAAATAGTCAAGAAAATCAGATCTTTTACAAATAAATGATAAAGGACTTTCTAATGAAGTATTTCTCTCCAATTCCGACTTTTTCGACTATTCCGAAGAGAACGTAAAATTCGCATGTCGAATAACAGCTCAGTCTTAACAAAATGACTTGACGTTTGAAAAGATTTCAAGCAGAATATTTTAGCGTGACTCGTACAGTTGGACGATGTTCAGATATTTTATGTAACCTCTTTCTCTAACCTCGTGTCGTAAAGTTTATGAAGTTAACAGATATGTCGTAGGAGATCATAGAAGTAGATGATGCATCATATATTTAACACGTCTAGTTAGAACAAGTTAAGGACTTCATTTTGTATTTAGAACTTTGAATGAGATTGATTGTTTTCTAAAGATTTAAACTTTTTTTCTTTTATTGAAATTGTTCAAGAGTTGTATCAAAGGAAAAAAATTCTGGATATGACAAACAGTGATAAACCTTTGAAACTGAAAAGCTTGAAAAAGGAAACGTTTTTCAGACATTTCTTATTTGCACATCTCTTGAGATGTATGAAAAGTTTATGTCAAAAGATCATTTTTCTTACTTTGTTTCTTTGTATTTGATGCTTTTTTCTTCAATACTGTACAAATCTTATGCATGTTGATTAGCTTCACAAAGCAAAAATGTTTCGAAACTTGTGTTTTACTATGGTGATGCAGGTTGATCTTTGTTCCTGAGTCAACTCTTGAAGCAATAGGTTAGATATCAATTAATTTCTTCATTTCACCTGACTATATTCCCATTTCAGATCTTTGTAAATGTCACAATAACTTTCTCTCTCTCTCTCTCTCTCTCTCTCTCTCTCTCTCTACTTTTCAAACTTACGTGTTCACAAAAAAAAAATCTTTTTATTCACAATTCAATTATTTGTATTTGCTGTGTGTTGCTGAATTGAATTTGGTGAAATGAGATAAGAATATACAGAGGAAAAATCAATAAATTGAATTTTTTTCCCTTCATTTCTCTTGTTTTTTTTCATTGTGTTTTATCGGACAGTTTCCCATGAGGGTTTGATCTGGTCGAATGAAGATCGAAGACATTTCCCTCCTACAAACGACGATGACTATGTTGGCATCATGAAATATTGTGTTGTAAGCGAAAGATAAGTTTTCACTTCCTTCTTTTATTCAAACCACCAGAGAAAAACGGAACCGAAAGGATTTAGCCAATAAATTAAAGTGCTTGCTTCGCCTTCACATCTCAACAAATGTATTGAAGAGAAGAAAAGTGAATGAATAAGAAAAAACAATTTCCATGGACGTGAAAGGCCAGAAAAAACGAAATTCAAAACCTTCTTTTTAAGATATTTTATTTTTGCAAGTAAAATAGCAACCGAATCTTTTTCTCGCTCGTATCGAATCTCAAATTGATTCTAATTTTATTATCGATTGCCAGTATTTTTCTTTTACCCTTACTGCTTTTACTTAACGAACTCACGATCGAAAAACTGAGTTAAGAGATGAGAAAGAGAAAGAAAGAGGGAGATAAAGATAGAAAATTTTACGTGATGAAAGGAGATTTGATCCTTGAATCTTTGTTTCAGGATGTGATTGTGTCCTTGTGATTTTTCTCATCGTTACATTTACTTAACAAGTATTTCCAACAATCTCAATCTTTGAACAGTAATTTTTCACAGTACCTCGACTTTTTCTACATGAAGCATTCGATCTACAAAATTGCTTTATTTCATGAGCATCTTCCGAGAAATTAAGTATTTTAACCCTCCAGCACGGGAAGGGTTAAACTTTCATTACTTCTCTTGAAATGCTAAAGATGAAACAACAAACACACTGGAAAAAATCCTTTTCACTTTATTGACTTAGTTCGAAAGTTGTTTGCTTCTCTCTCCGTATTTTTTTCTCTTTTTTTACCATTTATTCCATTGAAAGTCAGATGGATGCAAATAAAATAAAATGAAAGACTCTGGAGTATTATTCTGTTGGCGACAAGAGATGGGGGAGTGAAACATGGATGGAAATTGTTAGATAACACATTTTTAGTGTGGATGTGTCAGATGAAGATTCCTTTTTGGCAATACTCTGGAAGCATGTTACAGCAGAGAAAAGATTTCTTTAAGCCTTCGAAATGTTGTTGAAAACGAATCTTCATGGTAGTCATATTCTCTCGATGAGATTTCTGAAGTGAAAAAAAGCCTAGTTTAATAAAACCATGATGAATATCATTTTTTCTCATCTTATTCATCTCATGTTTGTAAGATTTAAATATTAAATTAGAAGCAGAGACATTTTCTTTCTATCCCCATCAAAACTACTTATCCTTTCAAAACCGACAACAAACACATAAAGAGTGACAAAAGCTTTCTGCTGAAGGATTTTTCCTTTCCCACTAATGTTTTTTTAAATGTCATAATATTTAAGTAAATGAGACGGGATTTGGAATGAAATCTTTTCATTTTACTTGCATTCATGGCTGGATATTAATTTCACCATTTTATGTCACTTCCGGGTTGATTTAAACTTTTTTATTTTTTATTCTTCTTTGCAAAAAGGCACTCGATAGAATAAAAAATGTCATTTCATGTTAGTGAAATCAAAGAATGAAGTTATACACACAAAATTTTATCGGGTCAGGTTTTCAACGAATTGGGTCAAAGTGATGGTTACATTACTGCAACCAAATCAAATTAGGGAAACCTTTGTTAAATGACGGAAACGATGAATAATGCCCTAGCTTAAGCATTTAATCCTTTCATATTCTTTGAAAATTATAAATACAAAAAATGACAAAACGAGAGGACTGCAAAAGGGGAAAAAACTTCTTATTTTCCCTTCTCTTTACTTCCATCACAAAACGCTTTGTTGTTTCGTAATCACTCAAACATGTTTCATTGGATCATCACATTGACGTGACGAGTCCTTTTTTCCTTCTCTTTCCCTACAGCACATTTTTTGACCATAACGAAAGTGAATTGTGTACTGTTATGCTTGATAAGCTTTTGATTTTTATCTGCCATAAAATATGAAAGAAGTTGGTGGAAAAAAAGGAAGACAAATTGTTGTTGTTGTTGTGAAAAGGGATACAAATGCTAGTTGAGAACATTTTTTTATGATACATATCACTCAACACTTATTGGTAATATTCTAAAATATACAAGCAGAAGAATGTTTCCATTTATGTTGCCGATAACATTATAGGTTACAATGCTATTGAATTTGTTTTCTTACTGTGAAGTTTCACGAGAAGAAAGAAAAAGAGAAAACATATAACGAAATTCACCTCACTTAAGCGGTTAATACTTAAAAGCTTTACATGAAAGTATTTTTTAGCTTGAATTGTTTTTCCTCTGCCAATTTTCTACTTTCCCTTTGTTGCCTTAACCCTCAAATGATCAAACGAAAAGCATTTTTTTATTCAGTCTGGTAGAAAATTGTTTTTTTTTCTTTCCTTCTTTCTCTCGATTTTCTTTTCACCTCTTCCGCCCAGTGCACAAAAAGAAAAGGTAACATATGTTGTTCTCACAATATTTTTAAATCCTTTAGATACTTCAAGTGATCAAAGAAGCTTTTATCAGGATGGTCGTGGAGAAAGGTGTATTACCTATGAATAATGTGCTGTGTATTAAAGGATTTCCAAGCATTTCTCAAATTGAATTCAAGGTTGTTCACGACAAAAGTTTCGTTCTCTTGAACAAGCATATGTTTCAAGTCATAAAATGTTTTTCTTTCTAAGTTTTATTTACAAAGCTCCACAAGCGTCTGTCAGTTCACACTTTCAGCATGAATTTATGTCTTAGTTTTCAAAATAAAGGCACATGCTTAATAGACGCTCGAAGAAGATTTCTTCATATATATTTAGAACAATGCCCTGGAAAAATGTAATTCAAATACCTTATGTTTCTCATGACGTGAATAATTTCCGTGCGTTTTTCCATTGAAAATATTTGGTGTCTGCTTTTATGCCTTTATGTAATATTGAAAGCATTGCATGAGATTGCAAGAAGCTTTGTTAACGGCGTGTCAATGTTTTATTTAGAACACATTTGTAAAAAAACACTTTTTCCACTTTTTTTTTACTCAAACTCTTTCAGAAAACAGTTTTCGAAAAGAGGTAAAGATGATTTGCCAACATTCGTATTGTTGCCATTCACATTTGTTTCCCTTCCAACTGATAACACGTGTGTTCATGAATGTGTGTACAAGTATGATAGACGTTCAAGATTTTTCTTTTTCGATACCTTCCTTTCTTTTCCTGCTGAATAACTCGTTACACATTCATAATTTATGCTGCATAAAGAAAAATTATGAATTTGACTGTTACTGTTTTAACCTTCTTCCTTGCTGTTGCTTTCACATTTCCTTCCCTATAATACGAATGAAACGAACACACTTATTCACTCATTCACATTCTTTTATGAAGGGCTCATTCATACATATTTAATTTTTAGAACATAAAGGATAATGTATGAAAATGAATAATGTTTCCCTTGCCTCCATCATGAGTAAGAAATTTAAAAAAGGCATCTCTATTGGCGTTGTTTTAAAAAGAAGTCACAGGGAAACAAATTTAATGCGTTCTTGAAGTAATTGAAGTAGATATTTGAAGAAAAATGTTGAAAGTTTGTATTTTACTTGAGTTTACACCCACACATAATGTGTCGAAACTGTCACATGTTACCCACATTGATAAAAAAAATTCCCAGAACGACCGTCAACGAGCTTAACTCACTTATCTCAAAGTCAACAGCCAAGAAAGCTAGTGAAATCTTTTTATTTGGGACTTGAAAAAAAAGAAAAACTTTATCACTTTCTTTTCTCGTAAGCTGAACTTTTAAAAGTGACAAAAGGGACATATAACAATTTAATTAAATCATAATTTACGCGAACGAAAAGTTCACCATACATAATATTAAATTCACATTATTTGCCTTTCTGTTCCTGTCAACATGAACTGAAAAAGTGGGAAAAACATTTTCATTTGCGGAAGTTTTTTTTTATGTAAAAAAGAAAAGTAAAAAAAACTAGCTCGCGTTTCCATGTTGCATAGTAATTCATTATGATAAAAAATAGCTCTCTCATATCATTAAATTTTCCTAACATCTTTTACTATTCTTGTCTCATTTTTTTAAAATGCTTATGAATGTTCAAAGCCTTGTTCAAAGCTATTACAAAAGTTTTATCATTTTTTTTTCTCCATTCATTCTTGTCTACTTTTCGCTTTCACGACATGAATTACCTTAAATTTTCTGAGAATTGGAAATTAATTATGTTTTCGAAGGGAATTTTGAGAAGAAGAAAGCTTAAGAAACATTTTAGAGTTCTCACAAATATTCTTTGTCATATGATCGTTATCGGGACAAAACTTTTGTGCTTCTTTATAAGCACCATTTTTGTATTGTCTTGCTATTTAAATTTGTGTTTTTGTTATGATGACTCAAGTTTATCTTCACCCTCGCGGTCGTTTACGGTTAAGATTATTCTATGTTGTTTTCATAATCAGAAGCCTATGGAAATGTCTGTGCTTTTAAAACAACCAAAATTTTACAAACTTTTTTTTTCTTCTTTTTTCCTACCTGCATGTTCAAATCATACTCATTATGTTTACCTTTGCCCAGCTTATGTCAACCATATTTATAATTCACTTTGATAACTTCTACTACATGCCTCTCATATCTTTTTAACCTGAATGGACTTTACGGACATAAATTGTACAGATTTTTACGACAAATTTCTCCTTTTCTAAAACATAAATTCTGTCAATTTTCATATCATTTTATATTGCTTACAGCTCTAAATAAAAGTTTAAGTAGTACAACATAAAATATTGGGAATTTAACCGAGCTCATTTATAAGGAAAATTATGTTTGTAATGAACTGAAAATTGATTGAATATTTTATGCTATCAATTTAAAGTTGATGCAAACTAATGCTTATATATTAAGAAGTTCCTTAACGACAATTCTTATGACTTTTATGTTATGTCCAACATTAACTGATTCTGGCGACTACATAGAACTTGCGCCATTGTGGCTAATTAGAAATCAATTATTGGTATATTTGAGAGCATTTTACAAAACTGAACATTTGTTAAGGGACACTTAATGGATCTGTCAATTGGGAGACGTTTATTACATAAGTATGTAATAATAAGAGAATTGTGTATAAATGGTATCCTACGCTTTCAAATTAAATAAATAAATTTTCCATTCGAAATCAAGATAATGCTTATTCCGAAAACTATAACCCGAAAAGCTATATTAAAAAAAAGGTGCGCCATTGATTTCCACAAATCGTATTAGGTATTCGATAAATATTGTTCATGAAATCCAATTAACTATCAATTTCATGTGAGGATTAAATAACATCAAGCGTATGTGATTTGTTTATGGTAAAAGAAAGACAAAGCATTGCGGTGATTCGTCATTAAGATTGTATACAAATTTTCGATATGGCAAACGATTGCTGTTGGTGTTTTTTTCTTGTATTTTAATTAGAGGGCGATCGATAAACACGGCTGGTTGTTTATCAATGAAAGTTTTCCCAATTTGCTAAAGTTTATGTGTAGAGAACACATTATAACAGATTTTGTTTATACTCACATTTTTTGTGTGTTTATTTTTGGCAATTTATTTCAGCTGGTTCAAGAAGCGAAAGCAACAATGGTAATGGAAGTCCTGTGAAATATCCTGTAATGGTGTTTGTTCATGGCGAGTCTTATGAGTGGAACAGTGGAAATCCTTACGATGGCTCCATATTAGCTAGCTATGGACAAGTTCTTGTCGTTACAATTAATTATCGATTAGGAATTCTTGGTGAGCTTTTGCCAATAAATTTTCCTATAATTGTAATTAATTATTCAAAGCTCGATGGACTTAAATTTGCCATATGTTGTTATGTTGTCTCATTCCATTAGGTTTTCTCAATGCGAATGTCGATCGATTTTCGAAATCACCCGCAAATTATGGACTAATGGATGTTCTCGCTGCCCTTCATTGGATACAAGAGAATATTGAAGCTTTTGGTGGTGATAGCAGAAGCGTCACACTTGCTGGTCATAGCACTGGTGCTGCATGTGTTCATTTTCTTATCGCATCGCAGGCTGTCCCCGATGGACTTCTCTTTCATCGCGCAATTCTAATGTCTGGCTCAGGACTCGCACCATGGTCACTTGTTGGTGATCCCGCACATTATGCAGCTATTGTCGCTCATCATGTTAATTGTTCAGTCGACTTACCTCATCAAGCTTTAATGAAATGTTTACGAGAAGTTCCAATAAAGACGCTTCTCTCGACGCCCATACGACCATCTGAATTCGGCAATACGTTCGGACCAAGTGTTGATGGGGTTGTTATAGGTTAGCATTTATCGGAATATCATGATACTTGTCAAAGATAATCTTATGATTTATTTTTCTTTTTATTCGTGTAGATACAGGTGATTACAGTAATCAACAAGATCAATATGATTTTGGTACGCTAAGTGGCAGTGATACGAAACGACAAATGCACTATCAAAATAATCTTAATGTCATAAATTCAGTATTGTTAAGAAAGTTAGCTATAAACAAATTATCACGGTAAGTATAATAAAGTTTCAACGAACTTAATCTCATTCTCATTGGTGCTTGTTTTCGAAACTTCTCATATTTACTAAAATGTTGTTTCTATTCGCATCATTAGATACGATTTATTGGTGGGTGTAACGAGAGCCGAGTCCTATTTTGTATTCAATTCGGGTGATGTACAGTATGGTATCGAGGGAGATCGAAGGTCGAAGATACTTAGGACTTACGTGAGAAGTACATACAGCTATCATCTTAATGAGATTCTAGCCACGGTAGTGAATGAATATACAGATTGGGAGCGTCCCGTTCAACATCCAATTAATATTCGGTAAGAAATAAAAACAAATTCTACAGATATTTGTTGTTAACATTGATTTACCTTTTCTTCCATCATTTATTTAGTGATGAAACGTTGGAAGCTCTTAGTGATGCACAAGTTGTGGCACCCGCAGCGCTTACAGTAGATTTACATTCTGCTGATCATCGAAATTCATTCCTTTATGTGTTTGATTATCAAACAAAGTTCGGAGATTACCCTCAGGTAAGGAATTGCTTATGAGAAATAAAAACAAAAATGTAGCGCTTGAAATTGCGTGATTTGAGATTGTAGCACTCGAAAATTTCGCCGAATTATGTAATTCATAATCTAATCATCGGGTAAGAAAATTTTCTTGTTTTCTAAAAATTGAAAATAGAAAAAAGGAAATCAATTCTACATACATTTTTTCCTACTTCTTTAGATGATTTACCGTTTATTATTTAGAAAGTTCCGCAAAAACGAAAACAAGCAAACATAACTTAAATTTCGAATGTAGCAAGATTTGAAAAAGCACAACCAATCTTCAATGTGCATTCATCTTAAAACCAAACAAGTAAAAGTTTCAAGAAATGCAAAGTAGTTTCAATTTTTTTCCGTAAACAAGAAAGTAAAATATCGCTCAAAGCTAAGTTTACGTTCCGAAAATCCTTGTTGGATAAAATTCAAGTTATACAAAATCATTGAGGGGAAAAAGTTTTTGTTTCCATCGGTGATGGGAAAACAGGGAAAATTTATGCGCATAATGTATAATGGAAAAACCTTAGAATCGTACTGATTGATTGCAAAGTTTTATCATTCCTCACATCATAGAAAGAAGAATAACATTTACATTATATCTAAAGCAAATAAAGTAAAAAGAGTTTTGATTTTTACCTGATTTTACCGTTTATTTTCTTCACTACCGTAAAGACTTTTTAATTCCAAATCATCTGTAAATTTATAATCAGAAAAACCATAAACAGATTGATGCTTTTCCTTACTTGTTTCACTTAAATAAATGTTATTCAAATATATTTTTTCATTATTTTTTTTTAATTTTAGATCAGACAAAAACATTCCATAATGTTTTGTTTAGCATGCGTTCCATTACTTTTGTAGGTCGAGATTTTTATCTACTCCTTGCTTTGCTCTTACTTTAACTGCAACACGAGCTATAAATTTAATGTACATTTCTTTATGTTAAATGCTCATCGTCAGTAACGCTTTTATTTCTTATAGGTACTTTAACTACTACTATATGCCATCCCCTTCCTGTTTTGTCAACACAAGTTATCTACGCCCACATTTGTTGTTTTATTTTATAAAACATGAGAGATGAAAACTTATTAAAGAATTTCTTCCTTTTTTTCAAAAGATTCTCTGAAATTAGAACTTTACTTGAAGCTTCCACAATGCATTGATTGAATTTTCAAGTTAAAGCAATCGATTTTATTGTTTTCCATTAATGACATTGCTTGCTGTTTTTTCTTCTATAGCAATATCACGCGAAGTAGGACAAAAGAATAATATTTTATCGAAGAGGGTTTTTGTTCTATCCTTGAAAGCAAAAAAAAACCAAAGTTGCAAGTAAATAAAAGAATCAAGAACAGAAAACCAGGTGAATCGTGTGTTCTGTTTGTTTCCTATGTTTATGCTGTGTAAAGTTGTGCCAGGTTTCTACTTCTTCCCTTGAAACAGATGATGGCAAATAACATTCCGTGATTGCTTATGTAAATGGTATCGCTTTACGTAACGCGCCATTTTTTCGATGCCTTTTTTTTTCACTGTTTCCATTGACGTTTGAAAAATCGTTTGCTTTGAAACAAGGAAAAAGAAGAAAACTTTCGCCTTGGCAAATGTTTTTCTTGCTATTAACAAAAAAGACATGAATGGGAAAAAAGTTTACTGCAATTTTTAAGCAAAATAATATAAAAACTTACAATGTTAACTGTTAAAGAGATATCATTTTTCCGACTAGGTACTTATTTTAGAGCTCACACAACATTTTTAGCTTAGAGGAATAAAATAAAAATATAAATACATATGATAAAAAATCACCTTTATATATGCTCTCAGATTTTCTTTCTTTGTCATTTTATCCAAAAATATTGATGGAAAACAAAATTTACATTTATAAGTGGAAAGGAAATTGATTTTTCTTTCTTCGTTTGACACAAGACATCGTGAGGTCTTGGGAAGAATAAAAAAATAAGAAAAGAAAGCGAGTAAAGAAAGTCAATATCACGCTTGCTAATTTAACGAAAAAAATATTGGGTAACAATTTTTATGTTTAGAAATAAAATGAAACTCTGATTATTTCCACATTTTCAATCCTTGTGCTTGAATAATCAACAAAAAAAAACGTAGGTAATAAAATGAGATTCAATTATGTCGTAACATTAGTTATCGATGGTGAAAGCTTGGATTTTCAGTTTCATTTTCAAATATTGCACTAGATTAAAATCGTGTACATGATTTTACATAATCACATTTTCAACATAAATAATCGAATATGCAATTTATTTCGTTACAGCGTCAGGGCTGCATTCACGGTGAAGACTTGCCATATTTCTTTGGTGCTCCATTGGTCGGTGGCTTTAATCATTTTCCGAAAAATTACACTAAAGCTGAGATATCTCTCTCAGAAGTTGTGATGCTTTACTGGTCGAATTTCATACGAACTGGGTGAGTGGTTACACCAAAATAATAATGTTTTCTCTAGTTCGCCTTTTGGCCCGTCACTTAAAGTCAATTTTATAAAAAATATTCTATTTTACTTTTTTATTTCACCCTCAACACTCTTTAATAAACAGCAACCCTAACGAACAACAGGACAATAGGGATCGAGGCAAAAGTAAAAATATTGAGTGGACGCCATACGAGAGTGTACACAAAAAGTATCTCAATTTGGGTAAGTTTGTAGTATTAAAAGTTAGGTAATTGTGTTGTTTCCGATATGAAGTTGAGAAGATGTTATAAGGGGGGAAAAGTTTTTCGCAAACAGGATTTAAGTAAATTAACATGAAGATTAAAAGCCCTCCAACTCCAACATTTTAATCGACAAGGAAGCATCTTAAATTAAACGGAAATTGATATTGATTTTTCTTTTTTTTGAAAATACTCCGCCACTGCTGTCTAGATTTTCATATTTCAGTAAGATGAAGGATAAAAATTTCTTTTTTTTCCTGCGTTTTAGATCATACTCGAGAGTTTTTAAAATGAAATTATTAAAGATT